TAAATATATTTTAGAAGGTGTATTGTATTTGTATATGGATTGTGATGAGTTTTGTTTAATTCATGAATTTTTAAAAATAATCAATATACTCTTAAATTAATAGACTTTTAAGGTGGATAAACTGAAAACATGAGATATGAAACCGGCATAATAAAACATTATTGATAAATTGTATCGTTTTATCATCTAAAAGACCAAATAAGTTCTATCACACACTTGGAAGTTGGATCTAATGTCTTACAATTTGTTATCCATTTTGTTTTTACGCTTTGTCAAAAAAGCATAAGAAGACTTTGTCATCCAATTTGTGCTTATTCTATTTTTGACAATCTGTTATATATGTCTAATAATGTGTCTTCACACTTGGATCTAATTTTTCAAATGCTTCAATTTTATGTTCTACTTTTAAATTTTGATATTCTTTCAGCATATTTATTGTACAATAACTATTAACTAATCAAAATATATACGAAGTATGTGACTGTACCCATTTATCCACCCACCCAATCATCGCTTGGCAAAATAAGCACTTCTAGTCAATGCCAATTTTGATATTAAAAAAAAAACAAAATTACAGTTTCATCCTCAGACTTGTGAAATGATCTTTTAAAAGAAGAAATTGCACAAATTAAAACAAAAACTTAACATTTTTATGAAAATATGATCATATGTCTGGTTTTCCCTAAATCTGATGAAACGTTAACTTTCTACTCCAACTTTAATCTAAATCTGATAAAACATTAACTTTCTACTCCAACTTTAATAAGTTAATTAATTAACCTAAATAATTGTTCGCTAATTTTCTAGCATAATCAAGGTAAGTTTGTTGGTGACCGGTCAATTCGATGGGGGCGATAGCTCAGCGGCGGCATACGATCATTACAATGGAGATGGAAACCTGTCAGAACGGTGTAGCCAATCTAGAAAAATTCTGGCGACTAGTGGCGGTCTGGCAGTCCAACGACTTGGGGGAAGCAGTCAGGGCCGTCTCCAGGGGCGGAGTCAGAACACTGGGCTGGAATGAGCCGATACAAAAAATAATTTTGAAAAATCATTCCACAGAACTCTATACCTTACAAATTTAGGCATTTTTTAAATTTGTGGTGGAGCAGAGCTTAGGTTGGCTCCCCCTCTAGCTCCACCCTAATATATCAACATAAACTATAGTCCTACTTTGAAACAAAAATAAAATATAAGTAATATTTGAAGAAACATTGTTCATATGAAAAATTATTTGATATATTTTGTAAAGAATGTACTTAAGAATAGATTTTATAAAGATCAAATTTAAGATTAGATTTGATATGTTTTAAATTTAAGAAAATGTTTATGAAACGAGATTACAATAAAACCAAATTTGATGAATATATCTTGAAATTGATTAGATATTAAATGTCCATTGTTACCTATTTGTTTAATTACTTTTATATCGATCTATTATTTATACATCGTGTGTCTATCATCTACAATATCGTTTTTTAATTGTTTGGTACATTGTTTAATTGGATATAGGAATATCCAACAACTCATATTCATTAGTATATTTATAAACCTTTTACCACTTATTTTAGTTATTTATAACATTAATAATAGTTTTTTGCAATGGTGCCCCCACATAAAATTGGTGTCCGAGCCCATGCCTAGGTTCCTAGGGCCTAAAGCCGGCTCTGGAAGCAGTGCTCCAGCCCTATAAAGCTATTTTTATCCAATGACAAATATAAATTCTTATCTATAGCATTTCAAACTAGTAGAACATATTTTTGGAAAATGGCATTATTTGAGTGTTATTTTAAGTAAATCTCCTCTTTCAAAATGCATGATTAAAATGGAATACAAGGTAGATGAGAAAAGGGTCAAATAAACCATTTTACTATCTTCAAACCATCACTTAGGACCATATATACTCAAAAAAGTGTCATTTGCATCCATCTACAAATACAAGTGTCATTTAAGACCATTGACCTAATGCCGGATGGTAACCTGATTTTGCAGGTTCCTTGCTCATGTGGCCTGTTTTCAGTTTTCATTTCCGTTTCTTTTCTCTTCTCTATTTTCCTTTTTTTCCCTCTCCTTCCAGTTTCCTTAACCCATTCTGCCATTCATACGTATCTTACAATTGTATATGCATATATATGGAGGGCTGTTCGAGTCAGGTGGCCTGACCGGACAGCCCCGTGCGACCTTCCTCGTTTGAGGGCCTTTCCAGTAGATTATTTTGATGAAATTTTTTGAGCATGTTCCTCATCAAGTATAGTTTATTTATACCAAATTTCAGCTCATAAGGCAGAGAAACATATGCCAGAAAATGATGACAATTGCACACAATTGAAAAAGAAAGACCCAAAATTCAGTAGAACAAAAGATTGAAATCTTGGAAGGAGAAAACGGTGTTGGTGGAAAGAAGAAAAGGATTTAACAGGGTCAGTCATCGTAATTTGATTATCAAGATGTTTGATTATTTTCACAAACTTCTTCGTTCCAAAACTGTAGATCAATCTCAATCTGATTAAAAATGGTGATGATGGAGTTGCTTAAAAGGAGATGCGGAAAGATGAAAAAAAAAAAAAAAGTAAAAAGAAAACTAAAAGAAAGGAAAAGAAAACTTAAAAAATAAAAAATGCCACATAAACATATAACCTGCGAAATCAGGTTACCATCTCGGGTTCAACTCCAAGCTAAGCAATGACTTGGGATGGAGCCCTACTCTTTTTCCATGAGAGTGAGATCAAAGCTCAATTTGCATCCTCACAGTTAGCTGTCCGGTCAGTGCTTGGGGCCCTCAGGGATGGGGTGTCATTTGTGTGACTGTTTTTTATTTGTAGATGGAAGTAACACTTTTTTGAGCGCATTATCTTAAGTGATGGTTTGGAGATAGTACAAGGACCTATTTGATCTGTTGGCATATGTGTACTACGTGCATTGTAAGAAATACAAGAGAGAGAAACAGTACGATATATCCATTAGTTTACGAGTTTTCTTGAATATTACTAATAAAAATATCATAGACTAAGAAATTATTTCCTATTTATTAGATTATAATTGTGTTCAAAGTATACATGGTATTCACATGGAAGTTACTACAATGTAAACTTTAAACACAATTATAGTCATCAATAATTACTAACTAATATTTTTGTCCACCACAATAAAAGATTAATATTAATGTAATTTTTTCTTAGTTTAAAAGTTAAGGTTTTAAAAAAATACTGCAATAAAATTTATTTATATAAATATGACTAATAATTAATATAGTACAGTATCATACTTATTTAAATGTAAGAAATTGAACATAAATTATAATGACCAAGTTACTATTATAGACATTGTACGTAAGAGGTCAATTTTTTGTAAATAAGTGTGTAATTATTTCTTAAAAGTTCTACTAATTAAATGCATTCTTCCATTCACCCTCATGAAACTATATGAAATTGTTGGAGAAAACACCTCTAGTTAGGAGTAAACTATTTCTTAAATACATAAATAGGGATTATGATGTTTATCTTCTCAAAATATTACTAAAGTATACTTTGTTTTCCTATTCTATCCTTACCATAACTTAATAAGAAAGTCATGTTTTTATTTGTAATAAAAACATAAAAATAAAAATAAAAAATTAATTTAGTCATAAAATAGTGAAAGAATATAAAAAATTACATACAAAAAAATTAAAAAAAAAATTGTATACTCTATATAAAAAATTGTGGAGGCTTTTCTCGCCGGCTCTGCCACCTCCCAGCATCTCCATCTCCCACCATCTCCCGTCGTTGAAAAAAAAATTATCGTAAATAAAAAAATGTCACTTTCTCTGAAAATTGGGGTTTTTATGTAAATGTTACTAAAGTAAAACTTATTTGCACAAATATGACACAATGTAGTGTCATAGTAACTCAAGTTTAAAATTTAAACATAAGTTACTATGATTTTATTACTATTCAAGTCACTAATCACATTTTTGTAAACAGCCTTCATTTTAGTCATAAATATGTAATTATTTCCTAAAAATATCATCAAGATCACATTATTAGTCTTTGAAAATGTCATTTACTCTTTGGATTAATACTATTTAGAAAATTTTAAAATTATACTATGGGGTATTTCAATTCTATTCTTGCAAGTTTGGCATTACTAGGCTTTAAACATGACATTTTCTTCCAAACTTGGCAGATTACTCCTATTTAAGGAATAAAAAACACGATAGTCCTATTTTGGAATTTCAAAACGTTTTTACTCCTATTTAGGGCAATTTCTGTTAAACAAATGTACTTGCACTGGCTTGGCACTTCCGTAATCTCAGATCCTCGTCCACCAACGTTCGTAAGAAAATAGATTTTTAATTCGGGCAGAGACGCGGAGTATATAACATTATTTTTAATACTCCGTATAAAAATTTGTGAAGGACTCCTTAATACTGCGTATTTTTTCTGTTCAGCCAAATTCACATGAGTCTTACAGACTACAGTACAGTACTGAATTACTCATCTGTACAATTATAGCCAACATGAATAAGTAAATGAGAGTGGTTAAAAAAATGAGAGAGTTAAAAATGGCAAACAAGGGCATTTGTTGACAATTTCATAGGGATGTGTACTTCCTCCCGCCTCTATAAGGTTCACCGTACTGACTTTTCTTAGTATTGCATACTTTGAATAATGATTTTAATTATTATTACATTTTTATATAAATTACTTCGTATGACTTTTATACTTTTGAAAATATTTTGAATAAGGAACATTTTGATATTATTTCCATATTCCAAATAATTTGGTATTAAAAAATATTATTGGCCAAAGTTGAATTTCATTAACCAAGAAAAATTAATTTGACGAACTTTTTGAGGACCGAAAGAAGTTTATTACGGAGTAATTGTCAAAAAATGGGGTCAAAACTTTAATGTATAAACAGATGCAGACTTAAATGCATAAACATGCAGATGCTGAGATGCAGGGCAGTACTCATGCAGCAGCATGTATGAGAGTATGAGAGGAAGAGAGAGATGAGACCTGTAGGAGATGTTTGGCAAGGTCAATGGAGATGAGTCCAGCACTACAGCCCATGCCACTAAGGTTGAAACTCTTCACATTGCTATTAAGCTTGTAATGGTTAACCACCATAGCAGAAAGTGATGGGGTTGAGTTAAACACACTGCAGTTAACCACAACTATCCCAATATCCTTCCCTTTCACCCCAGTCTTACCCAAAAGCTCATCAATGCATCCAAAGATGACCATTTCTGCCTCTTTTCTTGCCTGCTCCAAACAAGACTTTTCAGGCACACTGATCAAAATGGCTTCAGGGAAATAAGTCTTTTGTCCCAGTCCAGATCTTTCCAAAACCTTCTTCTGAAATGACAGATTTTCCTCTGTGAAAACCTTGGCTAGCCTTGACCTTTCCATGAACCTTTCAGTAGGGCACATCAGCTCAGGGTTAGGCTTGTAACATGAGAAGTCCACTAAATACACATTCCTTGGCCTACTCATGAAATAGAACATACCCAAGAAAACCATAAGACTTGAGCATGTAATGAGTGGTCCAAGATTCAGCCTTTGGACCATTTCTTTGAAATAAAGGACACAGAAGTGGGACTTAAATGCCCCTAGTAATAGAGGGTGTAAGAGTTTATACACTGCATGGATGATCAACAAATGGAATCCAAGCTTCAAGTAGTTTTGTCTAAGTGAAAGGATAATCTTTTTCATTTCCATTAGTATACCTTTGTAGCCTGTCATTTTTCTTAGTTCACTCAGTTGAGGTGATAGATATATATGGGTTCTTGAGAGGTGGATTGAAGGAAAATTAATACAGTATACGATAGTAGATCAGAGCTGAGTGTTTAGAGGGTGTATGGTGAAGTGAACTTTCATGTGTAAAATCTCACACTATATATAGGCAGTTTGACTGACAAAAGACAGAGAAAGCTCAGAATGGAATTTGAGAAGAATTATATGGTAATCTGCAGAATTAATTATTCAAAATAAAATTGCAACACTACTTTCTCAAATATAACTAGTAATTTTATATTCTTAAGATTCTCTTTATTATTTGGTCAAATCAAAAGAACATGCTTTATTATCATAGGATAAACGAACATGCTAGCTGAACTCAGATTTCTAGTTGAACACTCACATATTTTTATACTCCGCAGTCTAGTTGAACTCAGATTTCTGAATCCTTCCCTTTGTCAGCTAATTTCTCTAATCTTCTTCTCTAGCTATTCTTCTTTCCTTTTACAATTTTCCTTCTTCTTCTTCAAATTACAAAAAAAAAAAAAACTAACTGTCATTTTCTGTTCTTCTTGATCTTTCTCTTTTTCTTCAATAATTCATAATTGAAGATTTGGTAATCTAAAACCAAAAAAAACTTATTAGTGTTTGACAAGTCTCTAAACCGTTGAGGTTGTCTCATCTTTCCTTTTTGATATGTTTCAATAAGATTGTCTCACACCAAATTTGGTAATATTTGTGTGTGGTTTTATATCAGTTTTAATTTATTCTTACTTTATCAATTCAATATCAATTACATAAATTCACTTTTTTTAAGAACCATACCAGCGGCACCATCTTCTTGACCATCAAAATTAGGGGATGGAGGTAACAAAAATGCTAGGTGTACACTTTTTTGTGTACACCATTCGCGAAACTTGTGTTTCTACACAAACAGACAACTCGTCTCGAAATACCCAATTTGTTTGTATACAAACACCTATGTCTGTGTAGACAGACGATGTGTGTAAATGATGTACACAAAAAGGTGTACAATCCACCACGCACCACGAGTGGCACAAAGATCCCCTCATCTACATCAATTCAAATAGGAATATTTGGGTACTCAACACTCCTACACAATAAGACTGCTTGTTAGTTTGTAAGTTTGTAACCTCTATATAAAGAGCTTCAGTACAAAAGTTTACAAGTTTTACTAAACTATTCTTCCAAACATTTATTTGTAGTGGATTGTTGAGTGTATAAGCACAAATCTAAACTTAAATACATTGGGCAGACTTGATTATAAGTTATAACTAGATTTTGAGTAAGTTAATTAGTTGACGACCTTGTCTTTGTGATACTGGTTTGGACCAATCAAATCTATTATATTGCAAGGTCCTGTAACACTCACATTTAAACATTTTAAAACTAAAATCCAAATAAATTTAAAATTTTGGTCAAACTTCCAAACTTAATTAATATACTTTCTCTAGATCATGTTCTTGACTTTGAGCTACTATATGGTGATGGTACTGTGGTTTTCCCCCCTGTTGAAGGTCCTCTAACTCTTCAGGGAAAAATGTTAAAACTGCTGGGAATCATGAGGTGCTAACCAATATTCGCAGTTAGTTCTTTCATAAATCTATAATTGTTCGGAAATTTATAGAATTGATAGGAACCTCAAGTTTAACTGTGGGTTCCTACGAGATACTCTTTATAAGCCAAGAACATGGTTTATATGAAAGCAGTAACCAATAGTGTTTAAGAAACATTAGACCACACAAAAATAATACGGAGTATAAATATAATTATTGGTCCTACTGGATTGAATTCAATTGAGTTCTTGAAATTACTACTACCTCCGTCCCGTTGGAAGGTTCCCATAGAAAAACGGCACGGTTATTTAGACAATAATTAAATTAAGTACTTCAAGTACATTCACTATGGGTCATCCGGAAACAGTCTCTCTATGCTTTAGTACAGGGGTAAGACTGCGTACATCCGACCACCCCTTACCCCACCGTAGGTGGGAGCCTTTGGGGCACTAGGGTAAATGAAAATGATGATGAAATGAAATACATTTTGAGAAATAATTTTAATAGGTATATATTATAATGTAGTTAGTATTGATAATTGTGATATTATAAATGTATTATTTTTAATATTTAATAACTAATTTGTCACTTAAAATTGTTAATTGTTTCCTAAATTAGAAATGAGAACCTTTATATGGGACGTCCAAAAAGGGAAAGTAAGAACCTTCTAATGGGACGGAGGGAGTACAAAATACGAAGTAAGAAATATTGAATTGATAAAATAAAAATAAAGTAAAATTAAATCAGATCACAAAAATATCGATCATTATGTGAGACAAAGTTAACATATGAGATAAACAAAGAAAGATGAGACAAAGATAATAGAATGGAGGGAGTAATACACTCACTTTCTATTAATTAATTGTTTTGAGTCCATTAAATTATGTCTAAAGCACGTAGTCATCGTACGTCCCAACTGAACTAGAATTAAAGATCGCATGTGTGTAGTCGTGTACACCTAGGTGACTTCTGGTTCTTAAAAAATGAATGTCAGCAGCCGTTTTAATACATTTCAGTACGTATAATTATTTCAGTATAGTTTAGTGACCAAGTCAAAAATATCGTGTTGGGTTTGGCCGGTTGGGGTTTCAAATTGTATAATGTGGGTTCAGTTTAAAATATCTTAGATATTTTTTGAAAAATATACTGCGGATATATGCATATATATACATAGTGTCCGGTTTCGGCGATTGCATTTCTTTCCGTCAGACATGAGAATGTTTCAAAACGATGCTTAATGAGGCGCACAAATGCACAATTATGGTTATAGTAATGCACACGTACTGCAAATAGCCAAAAAAAAATGAATTTATTTACCATAATGATGCCGCACTTTCTAATTTATGGGAGTGCACGTTTATATTTCACGTAATACACAATTCTCAAATTTAACGTTGCAGATTCATTTTCATTTTTCTCATTATATCGAGTTCTCATGTGATCAAAATTATATACATAGGCAGGGCCGTCTAATGAATTTAGAGGTCTCGGTTCCAAATGTAAAATTGGGGCCCCACTTTAATAATGTCGTAGTAATTTTTTTTTATCTAAAACTTACTTAATTCTTGATTTAAAGTAACACGCCTCATTATTCAAGCAATTTGAGTAATTGAGAACTAAAGTACCAACGAAAAAGTGATGGATATATACTTTTATTCCTTACTAATTGTATTTTACTTATTATTATTAACGTATTAATATATAATACTAATAAATTTTTAAAGATCTGGGGCCCCGTAAATCTGGGGGCCCTGTTCTAAATAACCTAATTAACCCCATCAAAACGGCCCTGTACATAGGGTGTAGTTCAAATAAAAAGGACACGACTTCTAAAATGTGGGACTTTATTTTGCACTGCTATGGTGCACTTTTATGTTCTAATAATGCATTTTTTCAACTTTATAAAAAAAATACTTATTTAGAAAATTGTCACCGTGTATTTTTTTCCAAAAACTGCATTTTCACCACCACTTAAGAACGTATTTTATGTGATCCAAATTCTCCATAGCCTACTTATAGGTAAGAAAAATGAGCCTTGCCCCTTCAATCTTCATCCCCTCCCTTTTTCAGTAGACATGGTTCACCTTCTAACCAGGGCGTATCCAGGGTGGGGGCAGGGGGGCAACTGCCCCCACTCAACCTCCACCCAACTCCTATATATATATATATATATATATATATATATATATATATATATATATATATATATATATATATATATATATATATATATATATATCCAATTTAAAATTATACACGGTAAAATATAGGTAACTTATACAATAAATATGAGAAATATAGGTACTTGAATTGCTTGCATGTGGTTCAAATCCCTTCTTTAGTTTCTTTTTCTTTTTCTTTTTGGTTGCTTTTGCCCTTGAATCCTTAAACAAATTTCAAGTTGTTTTACACTAGTCTTTTTAATTTTTTTATTGTTGGAAAGATCTAAACTATATCAATACAGTTACCATTCTAGTTTCACATGTGAAATGGTTTTGTACATAATATAAACTACTTTTTTAATATACTTGTGAATTTTCAATTTAAATTAATTCGAAGTGCATATTTGATCCTTCCCTTAGTTGATTCATTTATATGTTGACATAATTTTGCACAAATTACAGATGTCATGTGATAGAATTATTTCTAACAAAGTGAGTTTTAATTAAACGTGATATCATCATGTTTTTGTCAAGAGAACATTTTGTCATTTATAATTGATTTTACAGTTTTTTTATTAATCTGATTAGTTTAATTTTTCTAGTGATTTTTTTCTTAATCTAAGATAAATCCGTCCTCACTGACTTATTTTTCTGGATACGCCACTGCTTCTAACCGTGTATGTATATGTGGGTATATCAGTCCAATCTATAAGGGCACGCTCTACCATGGGTATAAAAAAATTTGTGTAATTTATTTCCAAAACTATCGATCTAGTCCGCCCCTGCATGCTACACTTAATTAGACGTACATCAGCAAGGATTGGCATGCATGCATATCATGGGCAGACCCTACTAAAATGTATCTCAAGTGGGTAAGACTAGGAGCCCGTTTGGTAGCACCAAAATCGGCTGTTTTGGCTGATTCTGCTGAAATTTATGATATTCTGGCTGGAGTGGCTGTTTTGGCTGATTCTGCTGATTTAAGAAAAAAATATTTTAAAAATATATTTTATTAATAAATTAAAGAAAAAATCATATGTAAAAATAGCTAAAATGGTCCTCTACAGTAACTTCAGCCAATACAGCCAGAAAAGTAACTCCAACCTTACTTTTTCGGCTTATTACACAATTCAGCGCGCGAAAGTAAAAGTTACGTGTTTGGTGAAAAAGCTGGCTGATAAGCCTGATAAGCCGAAAACAGAGTTCTCCAAACGGGCTCTAGATATGTATACTAGGATAATAGTCTCTATATCCCTTATAATTTTGTAATCTTTCCTTTTTTGGATGTTCCAAAAACTTTGTCATTTTCCCTTTTAATCACTGAATTTGTGATTCCTGTTATTTCTCTCCTCTACATACGTAGTATATCTCAATCACACAATT